TTCTAATTAACAATTATGGTGTGGTCTCATTGTTCAAGTTCACAAACTAGTAGACATATTGAATCGGGTATAAAAAAGTCATTCTCACTCATGCAAATAAAATGACAAGTATCACGTAATCTCAATATTAAAGGATGAACTTGGTCTATGACCGAACTAATTAAAAGTTGATATTTTTGGTAAAATACAGCCCTCCACACAAACACACATGATTACAGATTTAGAAAGTCACATCCATTAAAATTAAAATTCCAAATTCTATACAAGGAAGAAAGAGAGTCGTAGAATAGTTTCAGTTGCATTGTTCAAATCAAAACCGCATAGCAGGATCTGATTCACCCACCCTTTTGAATCGGCAAAACCTTAAAAAAGCCTTTTACTTAGTCATTTTGGAACAACTAATCATTTCTAGAACCTCAATAATATCACCCTCTAACCTCACCACAACATTAGCTAATTCCGTTTCTGATTATGACCATGAAAGGCGGCACCACCCAAGCCTGCGCTTCTTGCAAATACCAACGTCGCCGCTGCTCCAAAGACTGCCCCTTGGCCCCATATTTCCCAGCCGATCAGCCCAAGATGTTTCAAAACGCCCACCGCCTCTTCGGCGTCCGCAACATCATGAACATACTTAAGCAAGTCCCCCCCTCGCAAAAAGACGAGACAATGACTTCAATTATCTACGAGTCCAACATGCGCTCTAGGTTTCCGGTTTATGGTTGTTGCGGCGTGTTATGGCAACTCCATTATCAAATACAACAAGTTAGTGAAGAACTCCAACAAGTAAAAGCTAGGGTATCTATGATGAAGGACCTCGGGATTGCCGACGACAACAACGTCGTTTTTCCCGTTTATACACAGCAACAGCCACCACAGCAGCAACAACAATACGATTGTTTGGGAGTAGATGGGAATGATTTATTATTTGGAAATGTGAACAATGGTGGTGTTTATGTTGATAACGATGATCATAATGATATTGGTTCCATGCTGAAGGAGTTGAGAATTCAACAACATTATAATGATAATTTTGGGATTAACGTTGAATCGATGCTAATGCAATCTAATTTGATACCCGCTGTACTGCAACATGAAATGGAAATTTCTCATGATTATGATGAAATTCCATTTGACACAATTGCAGATGATCGACAATCGTATGTTGAATCTAAAGAAGCATGTAACTCTAGGTTCGTAGTTACATTTTAATTAAGTATAGAAGAGTGAAGAGCTCGCATTTAGTTAAACATTTTGGTTAAAATTGATGGATTTGTGGGTTTGGTTCGCAGTGCGGAATCGACCTTCAAAGATGTGTCGGAATCATCGGCTGAGTATCTATCGAGGACCGATCTCAAGAACGCTGCAGCTTGTTTTAGTCTAACAAGTTAAGACCAAAACAAATAGACCCCAAACATTTGTATGTAAGGAACTTTAGATTTTGGTTTTGATTAGTTATTGATTATGGTTGGTTATCAAAGTTTGATCAAAATAAAGGAAGAGCTGAGATTAGTTGAGCGATCCCTTGAGTTTTGATTTTTTCACTCCTTTTTGTATAGAAGAAGATCATGGCATAGTTACACATTTCATTATTCAATAAAATCAATGGCATTGGTGTATGTATATATACATTATTTTTTATTTATTTATTTTGAATATACTGTGCTTGTGCATAGCTACAAACTTTATAGAGATCATGGTGTGAGTGAAACAAACACAAAATCATGAAACTTTATACTAAAAGTAAACAGTATCATACTAATAAAGAGATCAATGGAGGATCTGATTGTCTTTCTAATAAGTGATATTGAGTCATACTCTTTACTTTGGAGCACACAAAATATTCCGAAATATTCCATCCCAACTTAAAACAAAAAACTCTTCAAAATTCTCAAAATTTTGCAATGATGAAATAAATGGAAAAATTAGATAAGGGGTCGTTATCACATTTATATCCAATTAGATGGCAGTCGTGTTGGTAGAATCTTTGATTATCATTGATATTAAACAATAGAATCTTTGGTTATCATTGATATCAAACAAAGAACTTGGTTATCATTGATATCAAACAAAGAACTTGTAAGCCTCGATGTGAGTTGGCGGGATAAGAGGACTGCACTTAAGAGAACATGAACTTAAGAGGACTGCACTTAAGACTTAAGAGAAAATGAACTTAAGAGGACTGTACTTAAAGAGAACATGAGTTGACTTTTGAATAAGAGGTAGCGAATGAATGATCGGAACGATGGTTGACTTGGATAAGAGTAGTTGAGAATAAAAAAATAATAATTATGCAATTAAATAAAAATGAAGTAAAAATTTCCGAACTTTAAATTTAAAGAAAATAGAACACTCACCAGAAATTAAAGGGGAGGAGAAACGATGAGAAATTTATAATTAGTTGCAAGGGCATCATGGTGAAGGAGGATGGCATCCGCTACAAGCAATCTGATAGCGATATTGTAATGAATATTCCGCACCGCGTTGCTCAGACGATGCCATCTCTCCTGCAACATGAATCCTCCAACTTCAATCTTCGCACCATATTGGTGGTTTCAAAATCTCTAAGCCTCTTCACTATTTATACACAAGTTTGAAGCAATGCCATGGTAGATTCCTCATGCAACGTTAAATTCATAAGGGGTTTCTCTGAAATTGCGTTCTCAATGAATTGAAATCGCTCAACTTGTCCATTTTTCTAAGCTTTTTGACCAGAAATGCTGGAATTAGAATAGTCGAAGATAGCACTGGAAAATCACTTGAGCTTGGCTTTGCTGTAAGGCATCTTGAACCCGACCATACTGAAGTTTCCATGAAACGACCGTCAAATAAATCATTAGGGAATTTCACAAAAGTATACCAAAAATGAGAATTCTACAAACTAATTCCACATGTTTCTACTTTTTAGGATTTCGAGGAGTGTTGAATTATGAGTTTTTTTTTTTTTCCCTTTCTTTATTCTTTCCATGTTTGATCTAACATTTCATGTTTTTTTTTTTTTTTTTCTTTTTACGATCGCTAAGTCTTAGTTATGTGTTTAAATATGTGATACCCAGATAAATGTGAGATACATGAATGAACCGAAACTACATTCGAATGAGAGTAATTTTGAGAACAATATAGGTAAGAAAAACTTGAAAGAATTAAAACTCAATACCTATACTAACAAGGTGCACCTTCCTTTTTTGTGGCTCAATCGTATACTAATTTCATGGTTAAACATGTTTTACTTGAAACAATTGTATGTTAGGTGACTGTCTAAGAATTTTCCTAAAATGCAGGACAAAACATGTTTGCGATGTCCCACATTAGTTGGGGGAGGAGAACAAATCACCCTTTATAAGAGTTGTGGAAACCTTTACCTAGTAGACGAGTTTTAAAGTCTTGACGGGAGCCCGAAAAGGAAAACTCAAAGAGAACAATATCTGCTAACGGTGGATATGGGTCGTTACAAATGGTATCAAAGCCAGACACCGGACGATGTGTCAGTCTTCTCATTGTTCCCCAAAGGGGGTGGATTTAGTGGTGGTCCCACATCAATTGGAGAAAGGAACGAATGTCAATGAGGATGCTGGGGCTCGAATGGGGTTGGATTGTGATGTCCCACATTGGTTGGGAAGGAGAACAAATCACCTTTTATAAGGGTGTGGAAACCTTCACCTAGCAGACGCGTTTTAAGGAAGCTCGAAAGGGAAAGTCCAAACAGAACAATATCTGTTAGTGGTGGTGGGCCTACCTCATTACAATGTTAAAATGACTCGTTTTGATTTGTGGAAATAGTCTAAAGAGAAAGTAGATAACATGGTCATCAACGGAAGTATTTGTTCCTATTAATTTGATTCAACTACAATCCTATAAAAAATGGTGAGTAATTGTTCATTTATTAACATCCTATTAGATTTGACTTTAGCTTATTTATTGTAAAGATGTAATGAAGAAGTTGGATTGACAATTGCATCCATGTGATAGAGTGGTATACGTTACTGTTCATAGGGAACCAAAACCTAATAAATTTTTTTTGAGTATTCAAGGTAGCTTGTGTTACCAACTCTTCTTATAGGGACCTTGCATGACACGAGTTTATTTAGGTAGGTGGCCACCGCTACTAGTTATTATCAATTTTAGGGTTTTCTCGTTAGCACATCGCCCGATGATTAGCTATGAAATCACTGTAACAAACCATGCTCATTACTAACAAATATTGTCCACTTTTACTCGTTACGTATCAGTCTCACCATTTTAAAAAGCGTTTTTTAGAGAGAGACTTTCCACACCTTATAAAAAATATATTTTGTTCTCTCTTCAAACTAACCTAAGATCTCACAATAACGATATCAGAATCTATTGGACTGAGGAAATCTTTTAGACCAAGTGGAATAGAATCGGGAACACAATCCTCCATTCTTTTTTTAAGGTTAGGTTACCATATTATTATTTTTTTAATTATTTAATTTTTTTTATTTATCTAGAGAATATATTACATTAATAATTAAATTCTTATAAAACACAAATATCAAATATTTACGACCTATAGCGATCACAAACATTACTCACAAATGTCGAATATTTTTAACTTCATAGTAATATTAAAAATATGATATGGTTGTAACCTTATTTTTGTAAAAATTTTCCCCACCGACTTGGATTTTGGTTTTTTAGAAATTCAATTCAACTCAAACCGGAAAAAAAAAAAATGTAACCTAATCCAATCTTTATGGTCTTCAAATAATTTGGGTTAGTCGAATTCTTAGATCATAAGAACACCTCTATGAATAACAATTATTCAACTCCAAATTATTATTCAACTCCAAATCATTATGATATATACTTATTAATAAGAAAAAATTAATGGGTTGAATTTTTGTACCCGCATCTTATTGAATTAAAGTAAGAAATGTTATTTTTTTTAAAAAAAAAGAGATTCTTATGATTTCAACCATGCAAAGGCATAATTGTATATATAGTAAGAAGTTTAGCGTTTTATGAAAATTGCATAATCAAAATCCTCCATTTCTACAATATTCAAAATCGTTCCTATATTTGCAGTTTGATTGGTACAATTTCCAAGTTTGAAACGGTTCTGAAAAACAGCCCACCGATTCTCATCCTCATTCATGGTCTTCACGGTTGAAATTGCGTAATAAATTTCAAATCCGTTTCTCCGACACCAACCAAAGAAGTGTTCAGTGCTTGAATTTGGGTGATGGATTCCCGTTGGTTCCTCACATTTTCCCTTTGCTTTCTGTTCGTCTTCACTGCCTTCGCTCGCTTGCCCCAATCGCTTACGCACAACGAACTGTATGATCCTTTTCCTCTTCTTCTTCTTCTTCGTCTTCTTACTCTTCGGTTTGTTTTCATGATTCCGCTTACGCATGCCTTTGGATTCTTCGAATTTCAGAGGCGGATCTGCACTTCGGTTGAAGGGGAATTCATCTCCGCTGATTTTCGATCCAACTCGAGTCACTCAGCTCTCCTGGCAACCTAGGTCATCTCTCTTTCTCTGATATGCTCTCAAACCTCTCCCTAATAAAATTTTGAGGCTCACACGATCATATGTAATATCTATAAACGGGTGCGTTTCACTATTACAAATGATATCAGAGCTAAATATGGTGTTACAAATGTTATCAAAGCCAAATATGGTGGCTCACTGCTCTTAAAGGGAGTGTATTATGGGATCCCACATTGATTAGAGAGTTAACGAGGGTGTGAAAATCTCTCTCTAGTTGGCTAGTTTTAAAACTGTGAGGCCGATGATAATAGATAACTAGCCGAACAACATGTGTGGGTTTGAGCGGTTACAAATGGTTTCAAAGCTAGATACTTGGTCAGTGTGTCAGCTAGAGGTTGGGCCCCCGAAGGATTGGATTGTGAGATCTCACGTCGGTTAAAAAGTGTGTGGAAACCTCTTCCTAATAAACGTATTTCAAAACGGTAAAGCTGACAATACGTAATGAGCAAAAGCTTAGCTATGAGTTTGGGCTGTTGCAAATAGTATTAGAGCTAGACACCGGTCAGTATGTCAGCTATGACGTTGGCTTCCAAATGGGTGGATTGTGAGATCCACGTCAATTGGAGAAGAGAACGAAGCATTTCTTAAAGAGTGCGTGAAAACCTCTCCCTAGCAAATGCGTTTCAAAACAGTAAAGCTAATGACAATACGTAACGAACAAAAGCCGACAATATTTGTTAGTTGTGAGTTTGGGCTGTTACAAATGGTACTAGAGCCAGACACCTATCGGTGTGCTAGCTATGATATTAGTCCTCAAATAGGTGGATTATGAAACCCACCTTAGTTGGAGAGGAGAACTAAGCATGGTTAGTTGGAGGGGAGAACGATTATAGATAACTAGCGAAAGTTAACAATACAGTTACATACTCAAACCACATTTGACTGCTTTAGTTTTTTTTTATTGGGGATGTGTTTGTGCAAATCTACAGGGCATTGTTATACAAGGGATTTCTATCTGATAAGGAATGCGATCACCTAATCAATCTGGTGAGTGATAACGGAATAATTTAGATTTGAATTCTAAAATGTTTGTTTGATTGCATCATTTTTGGGAATAGTCAAAGGGAAGGTTAGAGAGGTCGATGGTAGCAGATAATAAGTCCGGTAAGAGAATTAGTAGTAAAGTCCGGACCAGCTCCGGCACGTTCGTGCTGAAGGGACAGGATGAAATAATTGCTGCCATTGAAGCCAGAATTGCGGCATGGACATTCCTTCCAATAGGTATGTATATATATACACACACATTTGTTGATGTGCTCTGTTACCTTTGTTTGTTGAAACTGTTGGTAAAATTCAGAAAATGGAGAGCCCATTCAAATTCTGCACTATGAGAATGGTGAGAAGTATGAACCGCATTTTGATTTTTTTGTGGACGAGGTGAATAAGGAGTTGGGCGGCCACCGAGTAGCCACAGTTTTGATGTATTTATCCAATGTTGAGAAGGGTGGAGAGACCGTCTTTCCACATTCAGAGGTATATATCCCACTGCCTCTGCAGCATCTCTCTTCTTTATCTCTCTGAAAATTAATAGGCATGCGTTGTTGCTCTGTGTTTATGCAGTTTAAAGAGTCTCAAGAAAAGGATGATAGCTGGTCTGATTGTGCTCGAATGGGTTATGCAGGTACTCCTTGTAATTATTTTTTTTTTAATCCGATCCACTCTTATTGAATAATAAACTCAGTTAAAGTGAAACGGATCGAGAGTTATAACAATGTGGAAACCTCTCTAGTTATGTGTTTTAAAAATTTGAGAGAAACCTTCAATATCTACCCCGGTATACTTGGCTGTTTTAAAAACTTGAACGAAAATTGAGATGAGATAATTCAAAGAGGACGGTTGAACAACTCTTTGTAGGAAACTCGCGCTCTTTATCGAGAAGAGAATACAAGACACCCTCTTTCGAATACTACTGCTTTTTATTGTTTTTGGATTTCTTGTATGAATAACCTATGTAAGGCGGAGGGTATTTATATAGAGCTTACTCCATCTATACCTAACAAATCTAAATCTATACCTACCTAACCAATCTGTATCTTTTTACATCTTTTTCTTACTATCTCTTTCTCCTAAGATATCTTTCCTAAAATTTTTGCTAAAATAAATATACAACCTCAGGACAGGTATTTATATTAGAGCCTATGCAATCTAGACCTAACAAATCTAAATTTATACCTCCCTCACCAATCTAAAGTTTTTTTCTACTATATCTAGATCTCTTTCTCCTGAAATCTTTGCTAAAATAAATATGGCTAGTACAATTATTTGGCTCGACTCTATTGGGCTAGTGATAATATTTCAACACGATATCTACTAGTTGATACTTAGATCTTTTACCATTGAACCTTAAAATATTTGAATTTGATTAGTTTAAATTGCTCCAGTGGAAACATTAGTTTATTTATTTTTAAATATTAAATTAAAATTTATAATTAGTTGAAATTTTGCATTAAAAATACTAAAAAAAAAGTTTTTTTTTTTGGTTAGAATTTTCTTTAAAATAATGTATAGAATTAAATAAAATTTAAATAAATAGAAATATAGAATTCACCCAATTTAAACTCAATCCAGCTCAAATCAAACCATGAGTAAGATTAAGTTGATTGGTTATTTATTTATTTTTTTTATCTACTTTTTACCAATGTTTTCAAAATTGATGCTGAATTTTGATTTTTGAATTTTTTTTTTTAATTTCAACTTATTTTTGTTTATTGGATTTAACCAAGAATTCAATGTGTTCTAAAGAAAAGACACAATTTTTCATTATGAAGTTGTATTCTATTTCTGGTGTCCATGTGTTCTAAAGCTTGGGGGTGATGGTTGTTGCAGTTAAACCGGAGAAGGGTGATGCATTGCTGTTCTTCAGCCTCAATGTGGATGGAACCACAAATCCGAGAAGCATGCACGGTAGCTGCCCTGTGATTGAGGGTGAGAAATGGAGTGCAACCAAATGGATTCACGTCAGATCCTTCGATAACCCAATTCTCCCAAACAAGGGCTGCATGGACTTCAACCAAAATTGCCCTTTGTGGGCCGAAAACGGTGAGTGCAAAAACAACCCCAGGTACATGCTGGGCTCTGAAACTTCTTCAGGATACTGTAGGAAGAGTTGCCAAGCCTGCTAAACTACAAACTACAACAACCCAGTCTCCTTTCTGTGATGGTTATCATGTATATAACATTGGGCACTAACTAGATATACCTTTGCTTCTTCTGGTCACCATTCTCTTGTCCGAGAGGGTTCCATTATACAAATAAAGTGGGTGGTCAAATGGATATTATATCTATTTCTTCAAATTATATCGTTCGCTCCACTCAACTATGTAAATTTCAATACATCTCAATAATTTGCGTTCTAACTTTTTTTCCTGAGACGCTTATTTAACCATTGAAGTTGGTTCTTCATGAGACCCGCATACATAGAATTCTTGTTAACTAAATGGGTTCAAGGATGAAAAGGGCATATTAAATGGGAATGGGGACAGGTACGAGGAGGACTTTTTCCGTCCCTACCTCATCCTATGGACATCTACTTAAATACATCACCATTGAAGATGCTTATAAGCATTGAAGATGGCAAGGCCATCTTGATTGCAAAGGATGGTGAAGCATTAATCTTTTAGGTTGTTGCTCGGAATATCAGTTCATTGAGCTGCAACTTTTGACTTCAATGGTGTCGGTGGCATTTATTTCACCAAATTTGAATTCATCTCATTTGGCAGATGCCTTCACATTAGTTGAATATAATAGTCAATAAGACTGTTGAACGAAAATTTGTTTGTTCTTTTTGTACATAATTTGGCAAATACAGCCATTTTAATTAAATGAATATGATGGTCAGAAGCAACAAAGGTTGGTGAAGATGCTTCTTCCTTGAAATTGCGTCCAGAATATTCTCCATAAAGTCGAAGATGTTTTTAAAGAGTTTGGACAAATTATTCTTTTTTATTTTATTATTTCAACTAGACCCTCAAATTATTTAATTATATCAAATTGAGAAGATAGTTTTAACCTTGATCTGAAAACATTATTTGATTAATTAATCTTAGTGCTCATATATATGTAGGTAAGTTCATGAAAATAATCAACGAAATTTAAAGTAAGAATTTTGTCCTGTAAACAGAATTTTGGTATTCATCAAAATCTGTATTTCAGAATAATCTATCTTTTACAGAATTAGCAGGAACGAAAGAATGATTGTACAAGAACTACAACTACAAACTGCATACATATGTAGAGATATATATATAATATATATAACGGAATACATTATGCCAAAATGGGTTACACTTTTTGTTTCTGTTGTTGATTTGCTTTGCTAATCTTCTATTTACTGAACAGCACTGCGTTCATTTCTGAGTTTCCCTCCCAGACATCACAAACAGTTGATGGTTATGCACTTAAATACCCAGTGATTTATAAGTGGAGTAATCGATTTCGTTCAGTCGAATACAACATAACATGTGTTCTGGCAAGTCTTCTGCCTTGTTTCCCTATTGAATTACAATACCACATTAGCAAATAGTTTAGGCATGATCCTATGAACTGTAAGAGAAATGATGAACATTGTTTGTTACCTGAATTGTCAAGCCAAAATCCAAGATACATAGCTTCAATCTGTCAATGAAGGATTCAAAACCTTTTCTTGAGATGTAGCTAAATCTGTGCATGTCCAAATCGATTTCCAAGTATTTCTCCCCCTGCAGAATTTGAAACGAGAATATGATTCTAAATGAATTATGAATATATCTCATTGGGACCAGTTATTGCTTACTGGGAGACGGAACCTTTTCTAGAAAAAAAAGTAGAATGAGAAAGTCGTTTCATTTGTAAAGATTGTAACATAAAGGAGACTTGAATTTCGTGCGGAACTCCTATTAAATTATCATGACTTACCAATCCAGAAAGGAACTTTAATTGTTCCAAGCTAAACCCGAAAAGAATTACTGTCATTGTTCATTGAATTAGTCTTTTCATTCAAAAAGATAACTTTGACAGCCAATTAATACAAAAGTGAAACTTTCCTGCGCGGATTCAGAATTCAAACAAACACTAAACAAGACACAATAAGAAAAACATGCAAATAAGGGGGAAAGTTATAAAAGTTTTTCCTTCCCAAGAAACAATTTTGTTTTATTTTTCCTAATAGAAAAGACGTATAAAAAGACTTCCCTATGGTTCCTTTCATCTCGATGATTTATTCTAATCATAAGAAATATATTGTGATGTCTGGATCAGCGTAACAACAACATGAAGCAACTCCTATCCCCACCCTAGCACAAAACTCGTAGTTCTTTTTCCATTCAAAAACAAACAATCTGACAGTAAGAAGGTACAAGCACTTGAAGTTATCAGAGACGTACTCGAACTGCCCTGAGAGGCGCCTGTTGGATTTAGTTATCACCCTAACTAATAATGCTAAAAGGTTATCTATGGCACCAGTGCCAACTATGTAGAAAACAAAGCGAAGTTTTTCTTTTTCCAGCTGAAAACAAATAATTTGTAGCAAGGGACGAAAAATTAGCAGTAAGTGATATAAAAGACACATCATCACAGCCAACCATGTAAAACTAAAATGTCATATACGGCAGCAACAACCATGTACAAAACATGTTCATAGATCAAAGCAATGCTTACCAAGTAAAATTCATGTTGAGGTCGTGAGAGGACAGGTTTTTCGTTGTACGCATTCATAAGCTTTCTTTCAGCTGCACTCAAATGAAGGTCCTCCACATTTGCCGCTCGGCCAATAATTTTCAATCTTTCTCTGAGCGGTACAATGCTATCCAGAGGGAAACCTCTAACCCTTTCGACTTCGTCATTAATTAATTTCTGTCAAGGAAAACAACCCAATTATACATTATATAATTTCTTTAAAAGTTATTTTTCCAATACGAGAACATGAAGGTTGAATAGATCAAGTTCTCTGAAAAAAAAAAATTGTAGGACGAGATCCAGGAAATGTATAGGTACATAGAAAATATAAGAGAAAACTACAAGCATACAGTTTAAGACAACTTACGGTAAAATGTTCTTGGAAAGAACTTGGAAGTTCCTTCGAATAACTCTCAGATAGCTTAAAGTACATAACCACACTCATGCCTTCTCCATCATTTTCTCCTTGAAAGATTGTAGCAGGGTACAGTGGTACCTAATACATCCAATAACTAACTATAATTTCAGCGTGCCCAAGGAGTTTAACAAACAGAAACTATCTCCTAACATATATACATGATATGAGGATATAGCTATAGGCTTAACATTTATAATTGTTAATAGCTATCAGGTACTTAGTTAATGCCGAGACAAAATTACTAATGAATTGCTCTCTAGCATGGAAGAGATTTTACACAAAACACCAAAACTAGGACAAGGAAAGGAATGCAGAATGAAAATATAGACACCTGAACATTTACTACAAGAATAGAAGGAACATCTCCAGCTGGATTTATGGCAGGAAGTTCCACAAAACGGGCAATATGATCAATCTTTCTCTGAGACAAGAAGACATCAGCTCCAATGGGATAATATGCAGCACAATTTCGAGCAAACTCTTTCTTCTTATCTCTGTTGAGAGAAAATTTAGTGGATTTAGTTATAAATTTAGATTTACAGGTAAGCTGACTCCAATGGAGGAAAAAAAAGAAGGGAGAAAGAAAAAATTGAACATGGAATCCTCACTTTTGTACATGCTTATGATATCAATAGAATATAATTAAAATACATGTGAAATTAAAGAAAACAAAGGAAAAGAACCAGACATGGAAATAGCTACAACATAATGGACTCACCTAAAATAGTTCTTCCCTCGGACTTTAAAAACACTGGGGTCAAGAGGTGACCAACAATTGGGCATTCTCTTCTCTAATGGGCAGTGCGGAACTGAAGTGCCTGCTATTGGTCTTTGTAAAGGCGCCCTTGGTGAAACTGGCCCAAAAAATTTAAGACATGTAATTTAAACAAGGCTCGCTAGTCTCCAATTTTAGCGGTAGAAATTCCAATACTCATACAAGTATACATTTCGGAATGCACATCAGCACAAGATGAAAAAACTACGAACGTGAAGAGATTAGTGAAAGCACTCACATGTCGTTGAATCATTATATCCTTCCTTCAACTTAAAAGAGAGTTTTGAAGATGCTTTTCTCCTTAAATTTGGGGTTCCTTGGTTGATTTGTCTCTTTTTTTCAACTGAGGGTCCAGCAGCAAGGTATGGCAAACAAGTATTTGGAAGAAGCCCGCAGTTGTTCAACTCAACCGCTTCACTTCCTTTTCCATTTTCACTTTCTGTGGAAACCTCATCTACAAAAATGGGGGTCAAATCATTTCTGCAATAACTAGATCTTTTAGCAAGAATTGCTGCAGCATTTTAGTTCCTTAGTGTTTCGATGCTTTGGTGACGAAATATTTAATCTGGGTGCGAACTCAGAGCTATTTAAAAAAAGAAAAAAGAAAAAAAAGAAGTATCCATCGTTAAGTCGATATTCATGAAGATGACTATAGAGACCTACCATCACGAAAGCTATAAAACTCGTCATCAAATTCCGAGTCAAGGACTGAAGTAGAATCAAACCATGCCGCATCGACACTTCCTCTACCTAGATCAAATAACGGGAAAACGAATCAATTAGATTCCCCAGAAACGAAATTGTTATTATTATCAGATAATGTAGCTGATATGTGACAAACTGCTGAAGAACATGCATCAAATCTAATCGCCAACCATCAGAAGAATCCAAGATCAGAAAAATAAAGGTAGAGACAAAGAAAGCTAAAAAGTAGACGAAAGGGAAAGTGCATGTAGGAACCTGCACATGTGGGGGTAGACTGAGGCCGATTATGCACAGAAGACGAATCGAGCTTTAGGGATGATGTTCGGCGCTTGATACTTCTTCGTCTCCGCCTCCGATTCCTTTTTCCCGCCGGAACCAGTCTTCCTCCGACACAACCCACCTGCCTGGAGCCGCAGAGTCCCATTTTCCGGTGGCCGGTAGGCTCCTCCTCCCCGTGGCGGAGCCGAGATGCACAGATCGGACGGAAAAGGTCGAGAGAATCGCAATGCAGGTTGTGTGAGTTTGAGGGTTCTAATGTGGATTCGTAATCGGAATCGGAGCTAAGCGATGTCGACGAATCTCGTACGCAATCCAAAGCTCTCCTTGTTTGCACAATTAATATTCATCACGGTTGCATTGCATTCCTCTTCCTACTTGATTGTCATCCGACGGTCCTCATTAGATCAAACGCTGAGAACCATTCCCGCCACGTGTCATCTCTTGCTCCCGCGACTTTGTCCGAACACCTGCGTTTTTTTCATTATCTTTTAATTAATAACCCTCTTTTATGATCCATTTATATTTTAATTATCAAATAATCTTTTTATGTCCAACAAATTATTAAAATTCCGATTAATAAATGGCCGGAATTTAATTATTGGGCTGCGATACTATAAGCCCAAGTTATTGGGCCTGGCCCATTTATGTAGTTACGCTTGGACGGATATTTTTCCCTCCAAATTTTATTGAGCCATCCGAGAGCTCCTTCCCGGTTTTTCTTCGTTGGGAGCTAGTGCTAACATCGGATGTTAGCTTGTTTTTTCTGAATCTTCGACTCGTCAAATTGTGTTACAGATCGAGCACTCCTCTATTATCGTTTGCTTGTAGAGTGAGTTCCTGTTGTTGTGTTGGAGAAATGGAAAGACGATTTTATTGTATCGTATATTATGCTGTTATCAAACTTTCGATTCTCTATTGGTTTCAGAATCTGGAATGATACGGAGACGGAGCGAAGGAAAAAGTTGTTGGAGCTGCGTGGAATTGATCCTGATGAGTTTTTGCTGAACCTTCTACTAATGTTGGCTCTCTCTCTCTCTCTCCGATGGTTGTTTTATTTCATTTCCTTTCAAACATCAAACATGAATAGTTTGTATTATTCTTGTCTGTTTGAATTGTGCAATTTCGTTACATTGGCTATGGTATTGAGCGTTTGGATATTTGGTATAATGCTTAATTTTCTTCGTTCGAGTTGCTCTTTTAATCTCTCTGATCGTTAAGTTTCCTTGAAGTGCGAAATCGGTATAAGGCAAACAAATTCCAGCTGAGAATCTTAAACCTCAACGGCAGACACATAAGTTACTTACGAGTTTTGTTCTTTTTTCCATTTTGTTTAGTGCTTTGTGCTGGGAGAAAGATTGCGTAGCCTTAAGTTGTGATAGCGTTACATTGATATCAAATTTCAATTAATTCTATCCTCAGAAGTGTCGATCATTCCCTGGCCTAACTGGGCTCTACTATCCACTGTATATCTTCCGAAGTAGAGAGGCCATCCTTCAGATGGGATATCTATCTCTGCCATAGAGATTACTCCTTCCAAATTTCGAAATGAAGGGAAAGGAGAGAGAGATATTTGTATAATTTGATTTTGAAGCTCTTTTGGTAATAGAACTTTTCTTACAAGGCTGGAGATGAACAAATACTCTATTTGGATTAAAGATATCCCGCTTAAATATCAAATTATACAAATTGAAAGCTATAGTATTAGTTTAATTTTGTAAGTTGATTGAATTATTTCATTTTGGATTTATTCCAGTCACATCTACATCAACTTAATCATGTTCAATAGGCGCCAACTTAATCAACTTGAATTATTTCTGTCTTTATATTTATTGAAGTCTGGACATGCGATCTGCATTCGGCGAGAATTATTTATGTGTTTTCTCTCAATCTCTTTCCCTATTGAGTTACAAATATATTTGTGTCTAACTGCAGACTACGTACTGGCGGTTTGGTCGGACACTTGGCAATTTATGGACCCAAGTGGGCTGATAAGGAAAAAGAAAAGAAAAGGTTAAAACGACTTGATGAAGTTTCTGTAGCCGCCGATTGAAATTAGCTTGTGACATTGTTCGGCAACAGTTGCTACAAGCCTAAGTTCAAGTGGTCCGAGTGTATTTTAAACAGCTGCATGGTTTTCCATCAAAGAATTTAAAAGTGCTGCATGCTTTGAAGCATTGGCCATCGTTCCTTTCTGTTGGTTATTGGGCATTGCAGTATCGAGATGTTGATAATACTTTTCTTGATTGTATTGGCATCTTGGAAGTACAGGGTTCCTAATTGTTGCAGGTCAAGGGTGAATCTACAGCCACCAGCGCTTTGTCTAGTTCTAGAATATATATCCAAGCTTCATGATGGTAAGCCTTAAAGAAAACATGGCAGAGAAAATACCACCTAATTATTTCCCCGGTGAGCGGTAGTACATACTTTAGAAGATTGTATTGGAACTCAAATATCTTTTTTATCGATCTTTTTGGTTGTGTCCAGCATTAAAGTGTCAGTATACCTGTGTAGTATTTAGAATCGTGCATTTTATGGACTTACTGACTCCAAGTTTACCTTGGTCATTCTTGTGCTGCTTTGGTTATTCCAAACTTCTGTTGTACTCAACTAGTAAGAATCTTTTCATATCTTATTTGATTTTGCAAAAGTTCTTTGGTTTTTTTTTTTTTTTTTTTTTTTTTTTTTTTTTTTTTTTTTTTTTTTTTTTTTTTTTTGCCTTTGCTTTGCAAGACAAATTAGAATCCTGAATAGCTTTGCTGACACTCTTTTTTTCTGACAATAAAATCATCATTAAAATTTTGTATGGTGTGGATGTGGGGGGACGGTTCGTGGAGTGGACTAACTCTAAGACTCCACTGTAGGTCTATAGGCACAGGACATATGACTTTGCCTCTTGCAGGTTGCAGTTCAACAGAGAAGCCAAGCTGACTGAGACGGACATCATGGAAAAATACAGTCTTGTAAAGGGGAAAATGGAAGGGATGGTGGATAAACCGTGCTGCTATCTCATCTATGATAGAGTAAAAACATTGGGAATTGATGAAGGAAGCTGTTAGGATCAACAAGTCCTACGCCAACCTGCTTACTTCGGACAGAAATGTAAATGTGAAAGTTCTACTGTCATAATTAAATTGGATCTAAACATGTGTATATGCATGCGTATGTAATACTCAATATGGCATGCCGAGGGAAAGAAGGAGATATTTGAGAACATGCCAATACTTTATTCGCTTATAGTCTTCGACTTTTCATTATCCTTTAGTTTTGTTCTTCATTTTTTGGGATCCAGTAACAGTTCCATTGTATTTTCTTTGATCATATTTTCTTCTTTTTCAGTTTGCCACTTGCTAGTAGGACCACTGAGTAAAATTTTCCAGGATTCTAAGATGGAGTCGGTGGATTGGAAAGCCCTAATATTCACATCCATGAACGTGGGAGAGAGTCCTAAACATGCAAGGACCTCGTATTCTCACATGAATGCAGAATCAATTTACAGTAATCAGAATTCTTGTAACCAGACATGCGAAGCTGCCTGCCTCATGAAATTACAAAGAAAATGGTTCTTATGGGCATCAATCTACTTTGGTATCAGATACTTGTTTCTTAGTTGAATTGCTTTGATTTTCCTTCAGTATTGATTTGAGCCAGATTAGTTCATTGTGTACTGTGGGCTTGCGACAGCAGCGCATCTAAACAAATGGTAGTATTCATTTTTCATTGTTCTCTGATAGCAAATCTAAACAAATGGTAGTATTCATTTTTCATTGTTCTCTGATAGCAATTGCTCGTATGTTTTTTTCCTAATCAAGGTTTAAAATCAAGGGTTTCCTTGCAATAATTGGTCGCTGATCAACTACCAGACACTCAAAACCAACTGCCTCAATTTTCTTCAGGTGAGCAATCATTTCTCTGATGACTATGTAACATTTGGCCTAATTGGGATTAACACTTTATCTTCTTCGCAAATTTTAGTTTAATATTCGGAGATTTGGCTATGCCTCGTCTTTACGAACCTGATGTTAAGTGCTCTGAGCTTATGAGATAGTGAGATCCCCCAATTCCCCTTTTGTAGATATAGGAAAATGCAGAAACTAAGGCGAAGAAAAAGGAGCTGATGGACACATTCTTCCACAATAAAGTGACATAAATAAATACTTTTCTGCGTTTAAATCAGATTCCATCTCTCTCTTCCCACGAGAACGCAAAGTACAGTTTCACTGATACCGTCTTTATATACAAACAAAACAGCCTTACAACCCGCCAATACCTCAGCCAACCGAATTAGTTTTCCATCTCTCTTCTTTCTTCTTTCTTAGTCTATAGTTATCCATCTTCACTTCCATGCCCTGAAAATGTCTGATTTTAGTCATTTCTGTGTTTCTGTTCTGAATGGATGATGACCATTGTTGGTCAATTGGAAGCTGTGAGTTTAGGAAAAAGGTTTGGGTGTAATGGAACCTAACTGTAGATTTTTTAGGCTTCTGTTTGGAGTTTTTCTCTTTCTTGGTATCATCTGGTTTTCTTTCATAGGAGGGATTGATAATGCTAGCCCAGCATCCAGAAGAGCGACAGACATGCAGTGGAAGGTGATTGGAAGCGAGAAGCATGTCTTTCATTGGCATTCTGATTTCTATTCTGTCAGCAAGAGAAGAGTACCAAATGGACCTGATCCAATCCATAACAGGTACGCAATTCTACTTGATCTAATATATTCAAATTGCAGATATGCTTGCTTATTTTCTTTTTCTTCTGCTCTTTGCAAGTATCTTCTGAACTATTCGTCTGTTCTCCTTCCTTTCTTTTATATTTTTTATCTCCTTCATTTTGTGGGTTTTGACGCTTTGGTGTAGAATTCTTGAAATTTTTGTCATCTTGAGGACAGAAATTTGACCATTGAATTTTGTCCCTAAAAAAAAGGCAAATTAACGCGTCTGAAGGTGACCACCCTACTTCAATTAAAAGAAAGATAAGGAACTGAGAGTTCTATTACCATTAGTGAATTTAGGAAGCTACTCTATTGCCTCTCATCTTTTCCAATTGTCTTTATTAGTTTCCTTGTTTACTACAAAATTGTGAACAGAATTCATTCAAACCCCCACCATTTGATCATTTTAAAATAGTGTATTGCTCTGCCTCTAACCAGTGTGCTTTCTTTTCTTTTTCTTTCATTGTTTGGTTTTAACAACTTGAGTTTGTTAAAGAGATGCAACAAACTATTCCAATTGAGAAGTGTTGATATTGGAGATTGTCTCACTTCTTTCCCCCCAAAAAAGAAAAAAGAACTTTTGTTCTTTTTTATCACTCTTTCTCTTATTTTTATGAGCTGTTAAAGGCATTGGGGCAAGAACTTGACCACTTTAGTTCATAAGCTTGACAGATTACATAAAATTGTTTCTCTTTGCAACAAAACCATTGCAGCATGATACTCTCTGTCTTTATGACATGGGCTGATGATTTTCCTTTTCTTTTCTTTTCTTTTTTTTTTTTTTTTTTTTTTTGCA